GTGACAATAGATGCAGTCGTTTATGAGATATCGACGGAAAAGGACAGGGCGTTTCGCCCCCCCCCTACGGGGCGCGGGTTAACTCTGTTGTAAGTCGCTGCGTCTCGTAATAACATACACGCTCGTTTGTAAGTACCGAGACGCTCTAGCACAATTAGAGGCGAAACGGCCGACGGCGAAAGGGTTCCTACAATGAGAGTTACAGGTCCACTGGAGGAAAATTAGTCTGTGTTATGGTGTGTTCTCAAAATGTGGCGCTTCAAGAAATAAACTTGTTCACTCCCTACTGATATCTGGCTTGCACTAAACTATAAATCCAATGGTTTTCGTTTTTTATGTGCTGGCGACATTCACTAGGCCCGGAAAACTGGTGGCTGCAACTAAAATTTAAACCAATAGGTATATTGGGGCATGGCCCTTCCTCAGCGTAGGTACAATATATTAAACAATAGGGGAGATCCGTGTAAGACGCCCAGGGTCGGTAAGAGGCCCCATCGCTTTTTTTACCAAACCAATAATGTTATTTATTTTTTAATGTTCTTGTAAAGCAGAAGCCCTCTTGAAACAACAACTCACGAAACCTGAGGTATCAGGTGCGTCGCAGCGACTTTTGGTAAGCCTGTTTCTGTTTTTGCCCCTTTACTTGCTAGATATATGCATCTTTATCACCCTTATATATCTGAAAAAACAATGGCTATCAAATGCAATCTTTTCTCATCGAAATTGTCACATGTTAGCTTCAGAATAGACCATGTTCTGGTGCGCTGCAAATGTCTCATAAACCATAAATATTGTGGACGTTAAAACACTGTATTTTTTTAAGAGGCCCTCCCTTCGAGGATGATAAAACGCCCCCCGATAAAAAAAACGCCCCCGATGCTAAAACGCCTGCACCTGCGGCAGGCGTGGCATTCTTTTTACAAGGAGTTTGTTTTTGTTTCTTTTTTCTGTTTCTTTTCTTAGAGGTTATAGGTACAATTTTCGTTGGTCATCAGCGTTTGGTTGTGCTAGTTTTCGCATTGTTCGAGCGCTTTGGAAGTGTTATTGGTTTCGATAACACCGTATTTGCTTAGCTTTTCGAAATAAAAGGCCTTGCAGCTGTGTTCGCAAAGCGTCTTTTACAAGTCGACTTGACTTTTAAAACGCCCGAGGGGGGGGGGGGGCGTCTTACCATACCCATAGTGTAAGAGGCCCTTTTGCAACTTTTTCCAAAATGTTAAAGTTTACGGTTTGTGTACCCCCTAGATTCATTTTGAATGCAAATATGTATGGGAAAATGATGCATGCTCACAGCGCATGCACACGTTAGCGCTTAAATATTATCAGTTGTCTAAAAATAGTAACTGAGCTTAAGGGGGGGCCTCCTGCACCACTCTCCCCTATAGTTCTCTCTTGTTCCACTGAGAAAGAGCCATGCCCGATTGCACATTGGTTTAATTTTTTCAATTCCTAATATAAAAAATTAGGAATTGCAAAAATTCCTAAATTAGGAATTTTTTTTATAGTAATGAGCAACACGTTACTTTCCATACTCTTTATAAGGCCATGTCAGGCCGAAACTGCCGTTTGGCGCATGCCTCGGCGCATATTTGATATCCTTAGCATTTCCAGAATTTTGTGACAAGAAACGTATCAACACGTGAAATGATGCTTGTCACCTGGTGGGGAGGGGCTATTTTTTGCCCCCCCCCCCCCTAGTATCTCCGAAACTACTGGACGGATCCACAAAATCAAAAAGGTGTTCGAAAGCATCGGCAAATCTGTGGAGGGAAATCCAATTTCATTGACCTGATGACGTCACAGGTCAGGTCAAAGATAAAATGTTTCACCGTTCACGGGTCGTCTAGGGAATGTGCTATAACATAGAGTAAAACGCATTTTATCGAAAATCCGTGATAGCGCGTCTGTTACCTAGTACATATGTTGCTATCAGAGGTCACTGATAAATACCAGGTCAGGTCCAGGTCAGGTCACCAAGTCAGCACATGAACCCAATTTTACTAGGGCCATGTGATGCATGTTTTATGGCCAATTTTTATTTCAAACTCAATGGTGTTAGTTATAAGACCATCAGGAACGGTTTAGGTCACTTCCTGGTGGCGGTCAGGTCAAGGTCAGGTCATAAAAGGTCAAATTTCAAAGCTCATAGTTTTGCGTAGTTTTGCATAAATGGGTATTGATTCGATGCAACTCGTCACGGCGAGACTAATGGTGGTCTTTGTTTTGCGCTGCGTGGCCTAGAATTGCTAAAAATTGAGTTTGAAAATTTGACGTCATTAATTTTGGACAGTTTTTTTTCGCTATAACTTTGCCAAAAAAGAGGCGTCCATCTAAAATTTGGTATGCGAATAGAAGTCGGTAAAGACTATCACATATATCTCGTTTTTTTTAAATTGAAAAAACCTTGGATTTTTTTACTATAATTTCCAAAAACTTACTTTTGATTTTTGGGGGTCGAAATCCATAAATTTCAAAACTCCAAGATAGCAGTTTTATAGCCCTGGTAATTCCACACCTCTTATATCCTAAGCGTTTTCTGTATCACTATCTTCAAAGCTATGGGCCTGATAGCTCTTCCCGCGAAACCTTTTTTGGGGTCGAAAACGGCAGAACATGACGTTACTCTGACGTCATTTTCGGCCAACCTATCATAGTTTTTGGAAAAATTTATGTTCACAATGTGTAAAATCGATGCCCGGGAGGGTACTGAAAGTTTGGTGACGATCGGCGCAGCGGTTCTGGAGATATCTCGAGAAGTCTAGAGGGGGGGGGGGGGCAAAAAGTACCCCCCACTCACCAGGGCGCGGTTTAAAGTTCAGGTCAAGGTCATTAGCTTGAAGTGACTTTCGATAACATTTTTCAAGTTTTGCGATTCGTTAGGGTAGCTTTTGTAGCTCTTTTCGAATTTAAAGCAATAATTTGAACTTAACGGATACAGTTTTTGGTGCTTATGAAACATGTTACGAGGCTGTCAGTTGTGGTTGACACCATAGATAGCCGGCAAGACGCCTACTAACTGACCTGACCTGACGTGACTTGACCTAACACTGCATGAATGCATCATCTTTGCTCAAAACTAATGTGAATTCGAAATCAGATTCTTTGAAAACTCTGTAACAGCCTCACGTTTTAGAAGGTCTACTAAGTCCCCATTTTTCCGATTTCTGGGTCCGATTGACAGGACGTGAAGGTCAGCCAATGACATAGAACTTAACCCTCGCCCGTAAACGGCGATCTGCCACCTTCGCCCATGCAGGGGGGGGTTGGTGCGACCCCCCCTTGGCGTTTGAAAACGGAGCGTCGTAGAGCTTAGCGGAAAAGACCAACGGATTGCTCTCGCCGAGATCTCGCGATTGGTGGTATATTTTTTGGTCCTAGGTCAACATTTGACCTACTTTTGACCGGTCAAAGGTCAAATTTTCGGAAAAAATGGACTTTTTCAACTTTCCGCGGCGATTGCGGCAAAACGGTCGGAGATATCGACTTGAAACCTTCACTATCGTGTTTCTTGATCAATTCTCTATCGTTTGGTATGTATTTCGTTTCCCTAACTCTAAAAATGGCGCGTTGGGAGCGCCGGAAGTCGGCAAGGTCACAGTCGGCGGCAGAAATTCGAAAAATCAAAATTTAAATTTTTGAAATATGATTGTATTTTTGGATTTGGGAGGGCCATTTGCTCCCTATAGAAGCTAATATTGCTGCATATTCCCATTGAGGTGACAAGAATTAACAAAATAGTGGTTCGGGCGCTTTTCAAAAAAAAAGTACCGGACGCTGTTCCTCTTGTGACGTCATAGCTCCGTGACCTGACCTGACCCGGTCAATTTTCTTGCACCACACGATAGCCAATGCTTGCCCCAACATGCATGGGAAGTTTCATCACGATCCATCAACCGATGTCCGTACCACCGGCAGGAAACCTCGGGCGTTGGCACTCAGTTTGTGAAAATCCGGCCGGAGGATGTTCCCTTTGTGACGTCATAACTCCGTGAGCTGACATGACCCGGTCAAATTTTTTTTTTTATCAAAAGATGCGCAAGGTTTGCCCCATAAGGTACCCAAAATTTGGCGGCGCTGCGCGCCGCCGTTTTTGCACTATTTCCAAAAAACCTCAGGGGGGGGGTTGCACCAACCCCCCCCTACATGGGCGAGGGTTAAAATTGGGTATCATCTGCTTCGTATATGAAGTAAGATAAAAACACCAAAACCACCCAACGTTTCGTGTTATTCACTTTTTCAAGGGTGAAAAAGTGTTGGCGCTTTGAAAAAAGTTTTGAATAACACGAAACGTTGGGTGGTTTTGGTGTTTTTATCTTACTTCATATACGAATTAATTTGTCCAATTCAAACAATCATCATCTGCTTCCTCTCGTCACGGGCAGCATGCGCTCGATAGCTGGCTCTCATGCACCAGTATGCTACATTACCCATGTGTTTAATGATTTTGGAAGATGCGTTACATTTCGCACCTATCCACTGTTGATTGTGTTTGCTTTTTCCCGTTTTGATTGTTCCGATTGCTACATAATAATGACTTCGCACATAACCTGCGAGAGCTCGTCTGTGACGTGAAAGGCTTTTCCGATCGCCGCTATATTTCAGCAGACATGGCTAAAGCTAAGGGGTAAGCTAAGGTGCAGCTATTCGTCCTGCACACGAAGCGTTATTTGTCGGTATGATGTGCAAGATGCAATTAGTTAGTATCTTTTTGGGTCGGTTTTTTGTTAACAAAAAATGAGCTGTTTATGATGAAAGTAAATTCATGAAATGTCATGTGTCTGTGTTCTGATAATTTAAGTGTTCGGCGAAGGAAGGGACCACGCATACTTTTGATCTGTATATGTGTATAATAGTGTTATGTGTTTTGATCAATTCATCGCATTATTCTCCTTTCCGTCAGTAGCCGCCCATTAATAGAATGCTGCCCCCTGTAATCGTTCGCTAATCCTGAAGTGTAGCTTCAAATCACGATCTCCGATAACGACGTATTGACTGTTGTAGATGATGACACATGTATATTTTTTTCTATCCCATTGCACATGGTCGTCGAAACTGAAGCAGTGTTCGACAGCACATAGGCATGCTAGTACATCAGTAGTATCACATGAGTTATTATTTACAGTCACAGCTTTATCAGATTCCGCATGTTTAGCAGATCAGGTATCTGCTGCATCTCCAGCTTTGATCCGTTTCTGCAGTTGTCTCGGCGGTGTATGGGTCACGTGACACCACTCAAACGACCAAGAAGCTGGCCAGATCACTGTCGGTTTCCCAGGCCATCGAAGCAGGATCATTGTCGCGTTTCTGGAATCCGTCTATGGGAAGACCGGGGTCCTCAAACACCGGCAAGTGGACGGGCGGAGTGCCAGCCTGTGACGAATAAAGCAGGGTCAGTTTAGAAGGAGTTTACGCCAATAATTAAGTCCGGTATTATTCCAAAAAACACACCAGTTATGACAGTTAACCTCACAGAAACAGATAACCCTGTAGACACCGGTTAAATAGGTTATGCATGGGTTTCAATTGATGAGGTTAGAGTTATTGCGCTTTGACGTTAAATGAAAACATTAAACATTATTAATGATTTGGTTATTACTATCCGATATCTCTGCTCCGTGAAGTGGTAATTCCACAACATATCGACCTTCCCACACTGGGTCAATGTACATACTATAAGCCATTTTAGTCGTCTAACAATCACTGGATCAGTCGAAGAAGCCCCGAGCCTAACTGGCCCAGACCACTCACCGTGGTCACAACTCTGTGGCTCTCAGTGACAGGGGATGTCGGCTGTCCACCCGCGGGTGCCGAGACCCTGAAACGTTACCGTTAATATGAATAGTAAATAAATATATAACAGGCATCATAGGACAACGTATAAGACAGGTTTAACATGGAAACCGTTTTTAGTGCTGCATCAGTCCAGCAATAAAAAGAGCAAGCAGCCTGGACTCTGGATCATATCAGAATTCTAGCCTGTAGATAGGTAAGCGTTCTGGCTCAGCCGCCGGAAAATAATGATTGATCACAAGTTGGGCCACGGCCAGCGTAAACTTTATTTCTTATACAGTTTCCTGAAACAATTCAAGGACCGTTCACATCGAGCCAGGTCACTAGGTGAAAAAACAGTACGTGGTCAGTTACTGTGGCCACTAACCTGGTATATGCGATTTGAGGAGAGCTGTTGTGCATAACGTCACATGTTGGCTGGACGAACTCGTATAGCTCCCGAATCGAACACGGTCTGTGGCAGCAGGCCTCTACGATGCTTTCACCTGAAATGTGACAGAAGGAAGGCCGTGACCATAAACAGAGTGTGCATTATTTGGTGAGCTTCATATCTATTTGGACCAATACGGCATCGCCTTGGACACATGTCAGTGACAAACATAAGTAGCTTTCAACGCGTAGCATTATTATAGAAATGTTGGCCTCACTCATCTTACAGCCAATGTCCCCTTCCCTAACGTACGGCTCATAGCAGAGGAGATTTGCCGCACGGTGACTGCGCTGCCGCTCCGCCTGCGACGATCGTGGCAGAGGCTCTCGATGAAGTCGGTCAACTGCGCTCCACACATGCGCACGTTCATTCCGCGCTTGGCGTAATGGCGTTGGTTTCGGGTTGACCTCGCGGAGATGGCGTCAGCCCCGCTTGTGCTGTCATCGCCTGACCCCCACGCCTGTTCGCCGCTGCCGAGTGTGGCGGGCCGGCCTACCCACCAGGGGCGCAATAGGCCCTGGGGCGCCGCGGCCGGTCGGCTAGCTTCCTCGGGCAGCCGCCAGAGGCGCTGGTTGTCGGCCAGCGGGGAGAGTGGTAGCTCCATAGAGGACCGACCTGATGCCGCATTGGCGCGATGGTAACTAGCGCCATCTACCGTTGTCCAGACCAGCAGGAGAAGAAGAGTGGGTTGCATCATCTGCCAAGAGAAACCAGGAAGCATATTTATAGCATACCTATCACCTATTTTCAAAGGTTCTATAACGTGTAAAAGACCATTTCTTTTGGCACTTTTTTTTAGAACAATGCAGGATGAGAGGGAAAGCTGAGACAAGTTTCAATTTTTGTTTCTTTGTATAGGTCTTCCAATTACTGCATTCAACGCTTACTAACCGATGGATTCTCACCTGTGCAGCGGTGTGAGACGGCGCCGGTCAGGTCAGGTCAGGTCAGGTCAGCCGCCGCTGGTGACCAGATAGATGCGCTGGTCACGCCGGGACGGACGACACTGACGCTGACCGAGCGAGGTGCGCCTCCTTTTGAACGGTGACGAGGCCCGGTCTCCACGTGGGAGTCGGGCCGACCGTCGGGACGGTCCGCTCCGATCATCGCCGCTGGCACCGGAATCGGCGGCCCACTAAACCGGCGTCGCATTAGCAGGCTGTTCATTAGATGATTTGGTCGGCTTTCGTACTGGAAGGTCGGAAATCGGATAGATGACATCAGCTAATTGGCTGATGCGCGGAACTAAATGAAAATTGCTCAATGCACAACAATAGCTTCTCCGAATGGTGTTGATTAAGGTGTTGACGATATCAGGTATGATATCAGGTATATCAGGTAATGTTGATATAACCGAACAACCTAATATATTGGAAAATGGTACAGAAGGAACTGAAAGTGTAAGAAGAGGAAACTTGGAATTCACAACACATCTACCCATCCAGCTCAGATTAACAGGTACGGCTCTCGCGAGATTAAGCGGTAGCTTTTGCACTTTACATTTCCGGTTATATCTCAGAAACTAATTGATTTACGATGAAACCATTTTCCACGATCATGGCCGGCTTGTGAACCGACAAGTCGATCGCCTATTCAACACTTAAAAGCTTAAGACAACGTAGCTATGGCCTGAAGTAGTAAAGTGTCAGTAGTCTACGAATATATTCAAAAAACAATTAGAAATGAATAAGCGGACCGTTTTTTTTTTAGCGCTGAAGAAGTCTGATAGACGAAACCAGTCCGCTTATTCATTTTAATTGTTTTTTTTATATATTCGTAGACTACTGGCTCTTTACTACATACCTGTCCAATATATCTACATAGCCTGAAGTATACTAAATTTTCTAGGTGCAAAACCTACCGCTAAAATCCGCGAGACCTGTACCTAAACCAATTAGTTAGAAGTCAGTTGCTTAACCCGCGAGTTGCTGGGGGGGGCGTTAAACGCCCCCACTTTTTTCGCCGCGCTATAGCATAAAACGGCGCGCCACAGGCGCGCCAAAATTTGGATACCTGTAGGGAATTGATTGAAGTATATTGTGACAAAGTTTTAAAAAAATCGGTCGAAATTTTTTGAGATATCGAGGTTTTAGTGACGTCATGATTTCTGAGTTTTTGACCAAAAACGGCATATGTTCGAAAAATCATATAAAATCACAGAATAGACATACAGACATACCGTAAAGGCCATTAGACTGCCAATACCATGGAAAATTAAATGGCTTTCTTCAATTTTTCATTATTGTTCCAATTTTCCAAAATCTTGAACTGAATCTTGGCATTTTCTCGTGACTACTTCACGACCATGATACATGCATTTCTTAAATTGAACTTTTTGAACTAAACACGTCCACATATGATAAAATGAATGTTACACTGAAAAAACAGTTTCTCCATTTTCGGTCTCAGAGACCAGTTTTCGGGCTAATGTCCCCTATTCAAAACAGACCACACATTTTGAGAATACTTTCTGAGCAACGCCATTGATCGCAGAAACAGATCTGTCAGTACCCATTACCGGTGTCAAACTTTTAAGATAAGTCTCACTATGAAAACAGTTTTCAGCCCGATCCCCAATTTCGGTCCCACTTCAATCCAAATGTTATTCGGGCTAAAAGTACAAGAGCCCTAAAAGGAGGCCTTACTGAAACCGGTTTTAAAATCAGACACATTTGAGGCTTGTTTTAGCACTCAATTGAGTCTTTATTCAAAAATGTTCTCAAAGTGTTTTCTGAGTGTACCATCGTGTTCTACGCCTAAAATTACCCATAAAACATGTGTCACGGGCTGCAAATATCGGTTTTTATTTTCGGGAATATGTGCCTTCCTGGTTGACCTGACCTTGACCCTGACCTATGCTTGACTCACCCTTACATGGATCTGACACTCTTGTAGGCCTTATATGAAGGATTCTGCACCGTTTTGACAGAGTTTATGACGAGAGGGGCGCCCATTGCGAGGTTCCGAATTCCATGCTACTGAAAGCCGATTTCAGGTGTTTGAACTGACCTTGACCCGACCTGTGACCTTAAAATTCCATTTAAAAGCGCTCATCTGAAGCGTCTCGTCGCGTTCTTTCGTTTGCCGCCTCGTGCGTTTCGCTGCGCCTATTGGTTCTCGAGTTATCGGCTGGGGGCGTTTACCGCCCCCCCCCCCTCAGCAAACGGCGGGTGGTAAAATACCCCAGCAACTGCCGGGTTAATGATCCCTTCCTGGAAGACAAAATTGATTCATGCTTGTAAGCAATCAGATTTATATTTCTAAAGTGCATTAAAATTTTATTGTATGCAGGTATGTTACAAGTTACCAAAAGCAAGTACGTACGTAGTCAGCAATTGCCAAGCCAATTACCCAAAACATCCCATTCATTGTGCACAGTGCTCGGACGTCCAGCATGATAATTCTCTCCTACTTGCAATAAAAAGCTTCAAGTTAATGCCGGCTCCCGTCTCTGCTGTCGCCGGCTCCCGTCTCTGCTGTCGCCGGTAACCGGCTTTACCTGCTGAGCCGGGCCGGTCGAGCAGCGCCGGCGCGGTGGGATGGATACCGCCGAGGGCTCTCCACCGCCCCTGGGCACCCAGGGCGACGATATGACAAACCAGTCAGTCGACCCATCGGACAGTTCGACTTCATTGGTCAGAGTTCTGTTCGCTAATCGCGCTGAGCCGGAGTGATTAACAATAATTGAATAGCATGAAACCAAAACAGCACATTACCAACAGCTATATTATCCCGGCACCGCCTGGGCTATTTCCATACCCACGACAGCCTGGGGGGGGGGGGGGGGGTCGGATCCGACCCCCCTGTTATCTCGAGAACCAATGGTCGCTTCGAGCCCCGCGAGGCGGCGTTCGAAAGGTCTCTACGAGACCTTCCCAAAGGACTCTTAAGATTTTAAGATTGAGGTCAACTTTCGGGTCAAGGTCAGGTCAAAGGTCAAATTATGGGGTTTTGCATGATTAGGCTTACGGACAGCGGAATCAACAGCTGCTGCTCGAAACTCACCAAAAATGACATCAAAGACCTAGTGAAGGTACCATGTGCGTATAGGGGTCATACTAAGTACGGGTCAAGGTCAGGTCAGGTCACGAAAGGTCATGGTTTTCACTTTCTGCTACATGGGCGTGCGACACATGTTTTATGGCTTATTTTTCACGCCGAATCCGATGTTAATGGTTATATGTGACCCCCAAGTCACTGTGCTGGTGATAAGTGTTCATTGAAAGCATAAAAAATCGTTTATACCATACATAACTAAACGAGGGCTAAGAAAAAAGGTCAATTTGTCAACTTTTTATTTTTGGCATAAAAATGCACTTTTCTAGACGAGCTTTCTCCCAGGAATCTAGTGGTGCCATTTGTTTTCACATGCGATTTTCAGAAGTGCCTCTAATTCACGAAAATGCTTATGACGTCACCATGCCCTATGCATGATTGAGCTATTTTTTACAATTTGGGGGTCAAAAATCAAGATAGAAAGTTGAAATTTGGGACATCTAATGTTCTAATAGAGCTCTATAACATGTATTCCTGTTCTTTTTTAAATTATCAAAATTTTGGATTTTATTAGCTGTTTTCCAAAAAAATATAGTTTTTTGAATTTCTAGGGGTGAAAAACGCATTTTATAGAAAATCCGAGATAACCATTTTAAAGAACTCGTTGAGCTGCGTCTATTCATGTCCTTAATTTGCAATTTGCTTTAAACCCTGATTTTTGGCGATTTTGTTAACATTTACCACTTTTGACTGAAAACGCCATGTAGTTACATCACTAAAATCGATATATCTAAAAACAAATCGAAATTTTTTCTTTAAAAAATGCACAGAAGACGTCAAATTGATGGGGGAGAAGGTATGCCAAGTTTCAAGTCGATAGCGTAAGCGGTTCATAAGTTATTCAAGAAAAACGGAGGGGAGGGGGTCGGATCCGACCCCCCAGGCGGTCGCGGGTTATAATGAGTTATGAAATATTTGTTAACCAAAATGAAGGTGATGACAATAAAAACCCCTTTTCAATTTGCCAAAACTAAATGGATCTAAATAGCATGCAAAAAGCAAATTGAGCGGCCACATTACCCTCCCGGCCAAGGGTTTTAGTGTCACTCTCTCTGATGGTTTCCACTTTTCTCGCGATTATGTAGCGTTCGAAAGCTGAAAGCTGAGATACGGATACCTTATTTTGTATTAAGGCCTGATTCTAAACACCGACCGTACTTTTCACGCCAGGACAGGTCACTGATCTATGAAGTAGGGGAGAGTGGGACGAAGTGGCCAGCCGGGACAAAGCGGCCAACGCGGTTTTAACCCTGCACTACTGGCGTCAGCTCCAGATTATGGTTGACAATCACATTTCTCTTCGTGGTCGTTCGAATGAGCTAGACCGGGGTTTCCGACGAACGAAAAGGCATATATTCCCAGGTTATTCTCATCATCCCAATATTCTTAGGCTTTTTAAATGCTATTTTATGCCATAACCGTCTGGAGGTTTACATAAGAGTTATTCCTGCATTGAGTGGCTATTGTGCACGTCATCTGCCAACTTTAGTTAGTTGTGCTCCAATTATAATATAGCTGTTTTTTTCGGATGGAAGGCGCGGAGCAAAATGGACGGAGCAGAGTGGAAAGCTTCTAAGATATTGAAATGTATCGTCATGCGCTCATTTCGGCCACTTCTTGGTTACATGAGTTATCCAAATAATGCAATTAGGTATATGTTTTTCCATGAATGTTCATGCATTGTTTATGTAACCGCGAGTGTCGCGGGCCGTATATTTTGGGTGCCTCGTCCTCCGTCGGCGAAAGGCATTAGCGGCGCGGTGGAGGCAAAGAGTTCGGCCGCGTGGCGGCGTCACGAACGTTCCGCATTGTTTGGATGAATTGAAAGGCAGAAAGGCGCAAACGATGTAAGTTGGTTGAAATGATTAATTTTTGCTATGTACTGTGCAATGAGTTAATGGCTGACTTCATTCTAAACGATTTAACGACTGTTTCATACGATTTTCTGTTCGTTTCAGAATTTACGGCATAATACAGCTATGTCACTGAATCGCATTATTAGATGGCTGTAACAGTAAATTATCGTAGTCTAGCCACGAATAGCAAATTTCATATGATCTGTATTGATCGGGTTACTATGACCTCCTGCATTGCGGACTTGACCTGTACTAACACAACCTACATGAACTGATTTTACCTGACCAATTCTACGCAACTCCGAATTGTCACCTGTAGTTGTAGATGTATGATATCGTCTCCTCTGTCACCTTGTGTAGACATTGATTCTTTTCCTGTGGCTGAATTTCATTACCTGAATTCCCTGGTCATCCTCTCACTCCATGATGGCTGAGCATCAAAATGCAGATGATGTGACAGATGGCGTGAGAAGTCGTAAGACAACAGAGAAGGGAGCTCAGTATCGACTCGGTGTAAAACAAAAGGTGTACAAGAGAGCATTGAGTGCAGTAAGGTCCAGTGGTCAGAGGCTGATTGAAGTTATGTCTGCAAACGAAGGCATAGGATGTGTCAAAGCTGAGCTCGAGAACTGGCTGAAGCTGTGTCAGGAGCTGACGTCATCTGATCACGAGTTAAGGTCCCTGCTTC